TGGTTAGTTGTGATGACATCCGTAGGCTGTAGGCGTTGAAGTAGGGAGCTGCATAAGAGGTAAACCATGTAGGCGTTGAAGTAGGGAGCTGCATAAGAGGTAAGCCATGTAGGCGTAGGTGGTCACTTGGGCCCCAGTGGTTAGTTGTGATGACGTCTGTAGGCCGCAGAGGCCGAAGTCGGGAGTTGCATAAGCCATGAATCACAAAGATCGTAGTTGGTCACGTAGGTTATAGTGGTGAGCTATAATGATGTCCGCAGGACACGTGACCTGGAGTTGGGAACTGTATAGTGGTGAGCTATAATAATGTCCGCAGGACACGTGACCTGGAGTTGGGAACTGCACGAGCTGTGGATCACGTAGGCCGTAGTGATGAGCTGCGATGACATCCGTAAAAAGTCGCCGCCTTTGAGAGTCAACTAAACTAACAACTAATTCGAAACCAATTTGATTCAGACTCAAAAGATAGATCAAGATCAAAATGATGGCCGCAAAGGTGATCTAACAATGAATTTTCATTTTTATAGATACATTTCAACAATATAAAACTCCAATCATAAATTTCTTTAATTAGAATTAGCTATATTTTAACTCATCCAAAGTGATTGGATATGATTACTACCAACCAAACCTAAGGGGTTACAATGATTTAAGTTCATATAGAAAAATGTCTAGTCAAACAAGTGAGAACATTAGAATTTAGCCTGGATTCTTTGTGATGTTGCCTCTAGATTGAATACTGAAAATGAGAAAGATAGCACTTTTGTTAATCATGGGTCCTTGGTAATGTTGGGTACCAATATTTTCTGGCTTAGCATGACATATAAAATTTCTTTTTTGAAATCTAATGAAATGATTTGATTTTATAGTCAAACAATGGTTATATATTTGCTAGCTTCTGGTTTTTATCAGTCGGTATTACAAGAGGTTCAAGAAGGGAAAGACATTTTAAGCAAATTTGGTGAAAATGAATGTGAAAAAAATAATAATGGAGTTATATTTATGGTAAGGTCTATAATCTTCTCATTACTTGTCCTGTGAACCTCTCATGACATGAACTGAAGCTTATGGTGCAATTTGGGATCACATTTTATTTTTTCTTTTTATTTATTTTTTAAGTTTCTTTTGATTTTGTTTTGACATAAAACAAAAATATATTTGGTCATGCTAATGATTTTTTGTTTTTGCCTTTAAAAATAAAAAAAAAAGTAAGTTTGGAAAATTTTATACAAGGAATTATAATTATCCCCTCCACCTCCAACTCATCTCTTCCATTCTCAACACCCTCCCCATCACTGCCTTGACACCGGCCGCTCATCGTCTTCCATTTCTCAACCGCCTCCCTCACTACTGCCTCGACAACCACTAGTCAACTCTCCACCATTCCTCTATTGCCGCCATCAAACTCCACTTCACTCTCATTGGTTGCCCCTTTATCTCTTGACCATCGCCATAACCGGAATCTCTGTGGTCTTTGCCAACTGATGGTTCGCAGGTGTCAGCAAATTATTAGGTTTGGAATCTACATGCATGCGAACTTCAGTACAACATGGTTGTATTGGTCGGTGTTGGCGTCGAAGAAGACACCGAGAAAGGTGTTGGGCTCACACTCGAGATCAGGAATGTGTGGGGAGTTGTTTTGACAACATGAAAAATAGGTTTTTCATGCTTTATGTTTTTGAAAAACAAAAATGCTTATTTAGAAAAATAAAATTTTATTGATACAAAAGATAAGATAAAAAAGTACAGCAGAAGATGGAAGATCCAAGCTAAACTCTTAAAAGAGAATATAAAAATAATACATAAGATATTGCAATCAAGTAGTCCAAAGAGTGAAGCAAAAATTTAGGAGGAATAGAAACAGAGTAAAATCAGATACCTGAACAAAGTATCAACACCCCAAACAACAAAAAAGATGACACAGTCAAAATCATTAGGATGGCAACATGAGTAAATTTGCATCATCTTCAAATTCATCTTCGAGATAAACCCCAAAGACAGGATCAGAAAAGGCTCCCTGCTACTGCTACAAAGATCACAATTCATGTATTCCCCTGTCCTAATGAGTTTCCTTGATAGAAAATAGATAGAAGGTTATATAGGCAAAGCATATGTGAATGTTCTAAAACAAAAAAACAAAGTAGAAGAAGAACTTATCTAATATGAACAAAAAATAATCTTACTTTTCATAGATACAAACCATATTTAATAATTGCTTTCCACAAAACCTGACATATGTATGATTCATTAGGTCCAAATTAATAAGGCATTTGAGGCATTTAGTGATGTTTCTATTTAGAAATTTAATAAAGGAAGCAATATTAGCCCCAGTATTGTCCAACCAATCAACACATACATTCCCTTCTTTGTCAGTATGAGTAACTTTAAAACTGAAACACAAAAGTAATCTTTTAGTATCCCTAAACAAGTAAGATAGAGCAGAATTAGAAAATTCTGATTATGCACATTTCATAAGCAGCTTTACAGACAACAATGAATCAATGTCAATCCAATGGCTCTGGATTTGTAAGAATTTTCTATGTTTAAACTATAGTTAATAGCAAAAATTTTAACTTATATATAGCTTTATAAGAAGGGGACCAACAAAAGCCAACGTCATAATGCTTTTATAGTTATGAAAAGAACCTCCACAGCCACAAAGACTCTTGCCAACAGAACCATCAATATTAACTTTAACAAAATCATTAGGGGTTTTGTTGTAGACAGCAAATTCAAGGATATTCAACATAAGTTCCTCATTAGTGTTAATGTCAAAAACTTTGCTATTGTTAATGCTAATTAAATTAGCTTTAGCCATCAAGAAAAAATTTTCTTTAATGTTATGAATAATTCTCAAATAGTTCATTTGAATACTTTGATGTATGGAATCATTCATTTCACACCAAAGTAGCCAAAATGGATATGGGAAGAATAACTTTGACTTGCCTCACAACAAAATCCTTGGATATCTAGTTTTTAGAATATCATAACAATAAAACATTGATATGCCTTCTCTCACCAACTCGATGATCCCGACACTTCGCCTTGCCAAACATTGAGCGGATATAATCCTCGTCTAAGAAGTCACCCCCGGGCATCGCATGCTTATCCATGTTGGCCAAAGCACACAAAGAGTTTGAGGAACAAGTGATTCAGATGATGGACGGTGTGTTGTGCGTCCATTGCCTTATTTATATGAAGCAGGGGATCTTAAATCAAGAAAGTCCAATCATTAAGTTATTAATTAAACATTATATGATACGCATTTTGCATTGAATCATTTTTATTTTTTATCATAGTTGTCTCCTTCAAGTTAATTGAAGAATTAAAATATGTGCATAAAAAAGGTATCTGCATAAATCCAGAGAAGATTTGAGCCAAGTCAACCAAGCCGAGTTGGCCGAACATATACAAAAAATAGAGAAATTTTTTTCTATTTTAAAATACCATAAATACCTTAGAAAACAAAAAGGTATTTTTTAGTGTTATGCTAAACCCACTATAAATAGGGGAACTATTTAAAGACAATCTAAGATTCAACAAAATGTTATACAAAATTAGTTTTGAATGATTATGATCTTTATTTGTAGAAATTATTGCATTAAATATAATTAAATAATTAATCAATCAAGCAAGTGCAATTGTTCCCACAGTTAGCTCAAAAATATTAACAATTTAATTAATTATATCTAATACAACCAAAATAGCTGCTCAGAAAGCTAACCAAGCTGATTACTGGGTAGGATTTGCCAAACAGAACAAAGTTGTTGCTCATGCTATTTCTCTAACAAAATAAAAAGATGCTCACTGCTCCAGAGTTCACTTGAGCTGACTGTAAGCAATACAGCTAGAGAGCAGTGGATCTCACTTACCATAGGCTTGCATAGTAATGGCCTGAAAAGAAAAGAAAACTCATGGTTCGTTAAATAAGCTTTACAAAAACAAAAATTCATTCCCCCCCAAAATCATTCAAATGAAGCTACAAGTCAATTGGATATTGTCGGACTTGGTGCCGTCGAAATTCATCTAAGACTTTCTTCGAAAAGAGGCTGAAGTTCTGTTGAGTTGCTGTGAATCTAAAGGCTTGCAAAAGTTTTCGTTTGTTGAAACAACGTTTCCCGAATATGTCCCAAAGTCATTTTGTAAGGAGGATAGTTTTTCACCATTTAAAATGACACACACGAGGGTCTTCTCTGTTCCGCCAACATGTCTTTTAAAAAAACTTTGTTGAACGGCAACGCGATGCCTAAATTATTTTGGTTGCTTTTTATATATATATATACCAGAGGCAATTATAGGAGCCCCCATCCACCCTCATGTACCTAACTATTCGAGGATGACCCTTATTACTGACAAATTGGCCAGAGGGGATTCGAACCCCTGATCTGAGGGAACTTACGTTCTTCAAAGGGGCTGCTCCATCAACAGGACACGACTGACGACATCATATATATATATATATATATATATATATATATATATAATACTTTGCAATGAATAAAACTAAAGTTATTTTAATCATAACATTAAGGATAAAAATAACTAATTTTTTTTCTCCTTTTCAGAGTATTAAAAATGACTTCTGCTTTTTTTATCTATTTTCTTTCAGCATATAGTTGCGGTCACACTAAAAAAAGCGCTAATGAAAAGCTCTTCCCTCACTTTCCTCTTCAATCTGCCAATCACCGCAGCCACACCGCCAACTTACCCCCACCTGTCACTACCTTGCTTTTGCCAATTTCTTCCACACCTGAAACCTCTTTGTTTTTGGTTGCTTCATGTAATTTTCCTCTAACAAAACAGTGTTCATTCAGCTAATTTATTACCTGGGTTATGTCCATGTGTAATGATTGCATGGTATGCTCAACATTACTTCATATTTTAAACGATAGTCTTCATTCATATATTATAAAAATATCCAATGCTGTTAAGTGAATATTAGTGCGAAATTCACACATAAGAACTAATGATATTTGATGGCATTGTTGTGATATTTTACCATAACTTCATCATAATATTACAGAATATCATCAAACTCACATCTATCTACACATATCTTATCCGCACGTAATATTTCATCTTGAAAATGAAGACAAACTCTTCAACTACATGTGCTCAGAATCATTGTTCTAATGTGGGCTATATTGGGCTCATCACAATGTTCTTCTAACATAGCCGTTAATCTCTTCTGCAGCTCACTCATCTCCTCACTAAGTCTCTGCTTCTCATCCTGTGCATCTTCCTGATCTCTCATTAACTTATTGAGCTTATCCAGCAGCTGACGGTTGGCAGCGCGGAGCCGAGCAACTTGCCCAGCCAGCTCTTCTAGATGCCTCTGCTTTCGCATCCTCGACCTCCTGGCAGACTCTCGGTTCGATATCATCCTCCGCCGCCGCCGCTCGTCGGCGGGAGATGGCTGATGATCCCCGCTCTGGTCGTGTGTCTGATGAGCTATAATTGAATAAGATTCAAAAAGGCTGCCAAAGTTGAAGGCTGGGATGATGCTCTGTGCTGTGGGGAAGTGGAATTGGATTCCGGCTATCTCTCCGGGATACATGACGGTGGCCGGAGGGATCCCGCGAGGTGTTTGGAAGCAGGGGTGAGTGAGTGAGTGAAAATGGAGGAGGTGAGAATGGGGGAGTAAGTGGGTTTTATAGGGGAAGGAGGAGGGTCCACTTGTGAAGGAGAGAACAGTTCTCCCCAAACTTGTTTAAGGGATGATAACCAGCAATGTGAGGACTGGTGAGGTCATCATGTTATGGATTTGTGGATAGGATTTTATGAGATGGTCTTCTCGGTGAAGCATGAGTGGCTGTTATATGTTGTGTGTATGTTGTGTTACAGCTATTTGTATAATGCATACAATTCGTTTAGGAGATCTCAGTGGACTGTTGTATGTATGGTTGGTGGTGTGCTTAGAAATTTAGGTACTGAGTTTGGCTGTCAGTGTGACTTTTTTTAACTCTCTCTCTCTCTCTCTTTTTCTCTCTCTTTTCCATTTCCATTCATTTGGTAATATTAATTTTTTATTTAATTGTTCATTTTATTCATTTATTTCTAAATTTTCCAATTGAAGCAATATTTCATTTTCATTTCCAATTTCTACTGGTGTAGTTGAGAGATTAGATTCATTATATGTGACATGAGTAGACTCTTCAACTACTAGAGTTCTTTTGTTAAAGATTCTATAGGCCTTCCTTCTAGATGAATACCATAAGAAAACGGCTTCATTCAATTTTGCATCAAAATTTTCCTGATTAGAAATTTCATTTATAAGTACAAAGCGCTTCTTGCATCAAAAGACTTGTAGATGTGACAAACTTGGGCTTCTTTCTTTTAAGAGTATTATATTTTTATTTATGACTCACATTTATTTTAATAACTTATGAGATTTATTTTTGATAACTTAAGTCATTAATTTTCTTAACTCATAACTTATGTCATAAATTATGACAACTTATGATATTTATTTTGATAACTTAAGTTATTTATTTTCTTAACTCATAACTTATGTCATAAATTATGACAACTTATGATATTTATTTTGATAACTTAAGTTATTTATTTTCTTAACTCATAACTTATGTCATAATTTATGATAACTTATGATAATTATTTTTGTAACTGTATAACCCCTAAAATAAATAAATGTTACTAACTTATGTCATTGATTTTATTAATAAAAATCAATTAATTTATTAAATTATCATAAATCCTATTGGTTAGTAACCCCCTTGATGGATGGTGGATAAATAGAGCATGAATTTGAGAATGGGTCCTCTCTCTACCCAACACACCTCGTACATTTCTCTCCATCAGAAAGTACAGAAAGTTTTAAGGGATTAGAGAGAGAAACTCCATCTCTTCAAGATCAAATTTGTTCATCATGAATACAGGTATGCGTCACTTTATTTTACATATGTAAAAATCATGAATTTAAAAGATCTTGGCTATTATGTAATTTTCTTTTGAAATTTGTGTATAAAG